CGCAGGGACACTAAAGCCCCGAAATCATCTCAAGATAACCGCCCACAAGATGGGTAAGGGGTGCATAATAAATGAACTAAACTAAATGGTCAAAATATAATCTGCTATTTTTAGAACAATAACAAACTGTGGTCCCAGACAGCACTCGACATCCTTAAATCTTTGAATATGTTAGATATTAAGTCACTGAACATCCTCTCAAGTGTTCACTATCTATATTTAAAACTCTGAACTGTAATGCCAATCCTGATCTTAAATGCTTCCTAAAAGGTTGTAACAAAACCTATGGGCACCACCAGAAAAAAATACTTGTATATCGGTGGTAAGACACTCGCCTGGTGTTCCGCGAGCGCTATGTCATGGGTTCGTATCCTGGCCGGGGAGGATTTACTGGGCGCAATTCCTTAATTGTAGCCTCTGTTTAACTCAACAGTAAAATGGGTACTTTTTTTTTTTTTTTTTTTTTTTTTTGAGATATATACAAGAGTTGTTACATTCTTGTACAGCCACTAGTACGCGTAGCGTTTACCTGGTTTACTTGGTTGTAACAACGCTTCTTCGCGGCGGGGATCGTATTCCAGGGGCCTGCCCGAAACGCTACGCGTACTAGTGGCTGTACAAGAATGTAACAACTCTTGTATATATCTCCAAAAAACAAAACAAATACTTATTTGATAGTCAAAGAGTGCATCTTAACCAAACTAGAAATGGTCTACAAATCAAGGGATCCAGAATGTGGAATGACCTTCCCAATCATGTCAAAGGCTGTACCTCTCTCAACTAGTTTAGGAGAAATACTAACTACTACCTAATAAACACCATATAACCTACCTTACCCCGAAATGTCAACCCATGTCTTGCTATTTTCAAACAATACTGTTTGTTGACCAACTTGTATAACAGCTGATTTCTGCCATCCGCCCCCCCCCCTTGTTTCTCTTTTTCAACTCAATTTATGCTTTGATCTCAATTAGTATTAAGTTTTAGTCTAAGTGTTTTTTCCTACACCTTGCCTGAAACACTGTGCGTATTGGTGGCTTTAGGCATTGTATATATTGTACTGTACTGTACTACCTTTTTCAAGATCTCCAACATTATGTTTGTAACCCATCTTGAATGTATGAACTTTTACCTCAATAAACATTTGATTTGATTTGATTTGTTTTGATATTAAATTCAGAACCTGAATTAACGACTTAGTTAGGTTGTGATAGGCGAGGTACGGTTTCATCAAATTTTTATATCAGTTTTTGCTCAAATAAAAAATATTAAAATCATACATAATTTAACGCAAAGCTTAATCATTCCATAAAAAAGGGTGGAGGCAGCAGGGAGTGTGGTGTGAGGAGGGTGGAGGCAGCAGTGTGAGGAGGGTGGAGGCAGCAGTGTGAGGAGGGTGGAGGCAGCAGGGAGTGTGGTGTGAGTTGGGTGGAGGCAGCAGTGTGAGGAGGGTGGAGGCAGCAGGGAGTGTGGTGTGAGGAGGGTGGAGGCAGCAGTGTGAGGAGGGTGGAGGCAGCAGTGTGAGGAGGGTGGAGGCAGCAGTGTGAGGAGGGTGGAGGCAGCAGTGTGAGGAGGGTGGAGGCAGCAGTGTGAGGAGGGTGGAGGCAGCAGTGTGAGGAGGGTGGAGGCAGCAGTGTGAGGAGGGTGGAGGCAGCAGTGTGAGGATGGTGGAGGCAGCAGTGTGAGGAGGGTGGAGGCAGCAGTGTGAGGATGGTGGAGGCAGCAGTGTGAGGAGGGTGGAGGCAGCAGTGTGAGGAGGGTGGAGGCAGCAGGGAGTGTGGTGTGAGGAGGGTGGAGGCAGCAGGGAGTGTGGTGTGAGGAGGGTGGAGGCAGCAGGGAGTGCAGTGTGAGGAGGGTGGAGGCAGCAGGGAGTGTGGTGTGAGGAGGGTGGAGGCAGCAGTGTGAGGAGGGTGGAGGCAGCAGTGTGAGGAGGGTGGAGGCAGCAGTGTGAGGAGGATGGAGGCAGCAGTGTGAGGAGGGTGGAGGCAGCAGTGTGAGGAGGGTGGAGGCAGCAGTGTGAGGAGGGTGGAGGCAGCAGTGTGAGGAGGGTGGAGGCAGCAGTGTGAGGGTGGTTATCTTGAGGTTATCTTGAGATGATTTCGGGGCTTTAGTGTCCCCGCGGCCCGGTCCTCGACCAGGCCTCCACCCCCAGGAAGCAGCCCGTGACAGCTGACTAACTCCCAGGTACCTATTTACTGCTAGGTAACAGGGGCATTCAGGGTGAAAGAAACTTTGCCCATTTGTTTCTGCCTCGTGCGGGAATCGAACCCGCGCCACAGAATTACGAGTCCTGCGCGCTATCCACCAGGCTACGAGGCCCCGTGGTGGAGGCAGCAGTGTGAGGGTGGTGGAGGCAGCAGTGTGAGGTGTTACGTACCCTTATAAGATACGTGAGTAAATATATTAATATGTACATTTATAATTGTGTATAAATTACAAGCATGTATATTGTTATACTTATATGTTCTATGCAAATGCACATTCATGTTAGTGTTGGCGTTAGGCCCAACGTATCGTGGGAATGATTGTTTATTTCTTTGTGTGATCAGTTTTCCCACGGGAACAAATGATTTATATGTGATCATAAGTGGGTAACAGAGGTGAATAATAATTGAGTGAACTGTATCTGGCAAATTGTCGTGGGATCGTCCGTTGCTGGTGTGCATGCCATTATTCCCTTCTGTATGCATATTTTAATTACTATGTAAAGAAACTATTACTTTATTTGTGTATATCAATATGTATTAATTATTCATTAAGTTAGTTTAAGATTACTCTTGTCACAATGTATTGCTCCATTGTTGAAATAATAAATATTGTAACTTTGGCAATTTATTCGCGGGGCAAGGCAATCTGTTTTGATTCCCGCGTTATTTTAGTCAGTAGCTGAGCAGGAACCAGGGAGATAACATCTTGGAGTTAAGTTACATTTTTGTTCTGTCATAGCCATACATATATTAATATTGATTTAATGTCTGGAAGATACAGTGATATTTTTAATGTGATGTATTGTGACCATATAATCATCTGTTTGCTTTTGAGATTTATTTAATATATTTATATATATATACTTGTTGTATCTCTTCTTCAGTCCTATGAAGATTTATTATTGTGCTCATTACTTATCAAGGGGTTATACTGGTGATTCGCTATTGAGAACAGCAGTTGTGTCGTATCCCTAGACGTAATTAAAGTTTGGCTGCTGTAGGATCACGAGCCGTAACGTACGATAGGTAACATGAGGAGGGTGGAGGCAGCAGGGAGTGTGGTGTGAGGAGGGAGGAGGCAGCAGGGAGTGCAGTGTGAGGAGGGTGGAGGCAGCAGGGAGTGTGGTGTGAGGAGGGTGGAGGCAGCAGTGTGAGGAGGGTGGAGGCAGCAGTGTGAGGGTGGTGGAGGCAGCAGTGTGAGGAGGGTGGAGGCAGCCGTGTGAGGAGGGTGGAGGCAGCAGTGTGAGGAGGGTGGAGGCAGCAGGGAGTGTGGTGTGAGGAGGGTGGAGGCAGCAGTGTGAGGAGGGTGGAGGCAGCAGTGTGAGGAGGGTGGAGGCAGCAGTGTGAGGAGGGTGGAGGCAGCAGTGTGAGGAGGGTGGAGGCAGCAGTGTGAGGAGGGTGGAGGCAGCAGGGAGTGTGGTGTGAGGAGGGTGGAGGCAGCAGTGTGAGGCGGGTGGAGGCAGCAGTGTGAGGAGGGTGGAGGCAGCAGTGTGAGGAGGGTGGAGGCAGCAGTGTGAGGAGGGTGGAGGCAGCAGTGTGAGGAGGGTGGAGGCAGCAGTGTGAGGAGGGTGGAGGCAGCAGTGTGAGGAGGGTGGAGGCAGCAGGGAGTGTAGTGTGAGGAGGCAGCAGTGTGAGGAGGGTGGAGGCAGCAGGGAGTGTGGTGTGAGGAGGGTGGAGGCAGCAGTGTGAGGAGGGTGGAGGCAGCAGTGTGAGGAGGGTGGAGGCAGCAGTGTGAGGAGGGTGGAGGCAGCAGTGTGAGGAGGGTGGAGGCAGCAGTGTGAGGAGGGTGGAGGCAGCAGTGTGAGGAGGGTAGTGTGAGGAGGGTGGAGGCAGCAGTGTGAGGAGGGTGGAGGCAGCAGGGAGTGTGGTGTGAGGAGGGTGGAGGCAGCAGGGAGTGTAGTGTGAGGAGGGTGGAGGCAGCAGGGAGTGTGGTGTGAGGAGGGTGGAGGCAGCAGTGTGAGGAAGGTGGAGGCAGCAGTGTGAGGAGGGTGGAGGCAGCAGTGTGAGGAGGGTGGAGGCAGCAGTGTGAGGAGGGTGGAGGCAGCAGTGTGAGGAGGGTGGAGGCAGCAGTGTGAGGAGGGTGGAGGCAGCAGTGTGAGGCGGGTGAAGGCAGCAGTGTGAGGAGGGTGGAGGCAGCAGTGTGAGGAGGGTGGAGGCAGCAGGGAGTGTGGTGTGAGGAGGGTGGAGGCAGCAGTGTGAGGAGGGTGGAGGCAGCAGGGAGTGTGGTGTGAGGAGGGTGGAGGCAGCAGTGTGAGGAGGGTGGAGGCAGAAGTGTGAGGAGGGTGGAGGCAGCAGTGTGAGGAGGGTGGAGGCAGCAGTGTGAGGCGGGTGGAGGCAGCAGTGTGAGGCGGGTGAAGGCAGCAGTGTGAGGAGGGTGGAGGCAGCAGTGTGAGGAGGATGGAGGCAGCAGTGTGAGGAGGGTGGAGGCAGCAGTGTGAGGAGGGTGGAGGCAGCAGTGTGAGGCGGGTGAAGGCAGCAGTGTGAGGAGGGTGGAGGCAGCAGTGTGAGGAGGGTGGAGGCAGCAGGGAGTGTGGTGTGAGGAGGGTGGAGGCAGCAGTGTGAGGAGGGTGGAGGCAGCAGTGTGAGGATGGTGGAGGCAGCAGTGTGAGGAGGGTGGAGGCAGCAGTGTGAGGAGGGTGGAGGCAGCAGTGTGAGGAGGGTGGAGGCAGCAGTGTGAGGAGGGTGGAGGCAGCAGTGTGAGGAGGGTGGAGGCAGCAGTGTGAGGCGGGTGAAGGCAGCAGTGTGAGGATGGTGGAGGCAGCAGTGTGAGGAGGGTGGAGGCAGCAGGGAGTGTGGTGTGAGGAGGGTGGAGGCAGCAGTGTGAGGAGGGTGGAGGCAGCAGTGTGAGGAGGGTGGAGGCAGCAGTGTGAGGAGGGTGGAGGCAGCAGCGGCCACAGTGAGGCAGGATGGCGGACGAGGCGTTAATGTCGGCGGCTTTGGCCAGGTCTCAGTCCTTCCACACCTTCAACACCCCTCACACCGCCCTCAACAAGTACGGCAACAATGTAAGTGAACCTCGTGCCCTGGGGTGCCCTGGGGTGCCCTCGGGGTGCCCTGGGGGTGCCCTGGGGTGGCCTGAGGGGTGGCCTGAGGGTGCTCTGGGGTGGCCTGGGGGTGCTCTGGGGTGCCCTCGGGGTGCTCTGGAGTGGCCTGGGGGTGCCCTGGGGGTGCTCTGGGTTGCCCTTGGGGTGCCCTCAGGGTGCCCTGGGGGTGCTCTGGGGTGCCCTCGGGGTGCCCTAGGGGTGCCCTGGGGGTACTCTGGGGTGGCCTGGGGGTGCTCTGGGGTGCCCTGAGGGTGCCCTGAGGGTGCCCTGAAGGTGCCCTGAGGGTGCCCTGGGGGTGCTCTGGGGTGCCCTCGGGGTGCCCTGAGGGTGCCCTGGGGGTGCCCTGGGTGGCCCTGGGCCCCCACTGTGGCGACGGGTGCCCCTGGGGCCCCCACTCTGGGGTCTCCACCACTTACTCCTCATGTAAACCAAAGTGTAACATTATTACCTTCCAGCAAACTGCACCTCTACTATCATGAAGAAGAAGTAGTACTATTATTATTGTGAGGGAGGGTGCCCTGGGGGTGCCCTGAGGGTGCCCTGAGGGTGCCCTCGGGGTGCTCTGGGGTGCCCTGGGGGTGCCCTGAGGGTGCCCTCGGGGTGCTCTGGGGTGCCCTGGGGGTGCCCTGAGGGTGCCCTCGGGGTGCTCTGGGGTGCCCTGGGGGTGCCCTCGGGGTGCTCTGGGGTGCCCTGAGGGTGCCCTGAGGGTGCCCTCGGGGTGCCCTGGGGGTGCCCTCGGGGTGCTCTGGGGTGCCCTGAGGGTGCCCTCGGGGTGCTCTCACTCCCCCTCACGCCCTCTCCTGCCTCTGGTGGCTCTGCTCTTCACTTGTCACTAGTGTACTTACCTAGTTACCTAGGTGTGCTTGCGGGGGCTGAGCTCTGGCTCTTTGGTCCCGCCTCTCAACCCTCAGTCAACTGATGTACAGATTCCTGAACAACGTGCACAGTGGTTGGGTTTACTGTGATGGAAAGGAAGCCCAGCATTGTTTACCTATATTTAAATGCTGGGAAGGAACTTGGAAGTTCATTTATCCATGGTATAATTGTCATGGATTTTTCTGAAATATTATTTTTTCAATTTTTTTTGCAATGATTAAGCTTTGCGTTAAATTATGTATGATTTTAATATTTTTTATTTGAGCAAAAACTGATATAAAAATTTGATCAACCCGTACTTCGCCTATCACAACCTAACTAAATCGTTAATTCAGGTTCTGAATTTAATATCAAAACAAATCAAATCAAATCAAATGTTTATTGAGGTAAAAGTTCATACATTCAAGATGGGTTACAAACATAATGTTGGAGATCTTGAAAAAGGTAGTACAGTACAGTACAATATATACAATGCCTAAAGCCACCAATACGCACAGTGTTTCAGGCAAGGTGTAGGAAAAAACACTTAGACTAAAACTTAATACTAATTGAGATCAAAGCATAAATTGAGTTGAAAAAGAGAAACAAGGGGGGGCGGATGGCAGAAATCAGCTGTTATAACCTAACCTTTGACATGATTGGGAAGGTCATTCCACATTCTGGATCCCTTGATTTGTAGACCATTTCTAGTTTGGTTAAGATGCACTCTTTGACTATCAAATAAGTGGGGGATTTACTGGGCGCAATTCCTTAACTGTAGCCTCTGTTTAACGCAACAGTAAAATGTGTACTTGGATGAAAAAACGCTTCTTCGCGGCAGGGGATCGTATTCCAGGGACCTGCCCGAAACGCTACGCGTACTAGTGGCTGTACAAGAATGTAACAACTCTTGTATATATCTCAAAAAAAAAAAAAAAAAAAAAAAGTATTTGTTTCTGGGGTGGTGCCCATAGGATTTGTTACAACCTTCTAGGAAGCATTTAAGATCAGGATTGGCATTACAGTTCAGAGTTTTAAATATAGATAGTGAACACTTGAGAGGATGTACAGTGACTTAATATCTAACATATTCAAAGATTTAAGGATGCCGAGTGCTGTCTGGGACCACAGTTTGTTATTCTAGTAGCAGATTTGTGTTGAGTAATTAGAGGATGTATATGATTTTGGGTAGTAGAACCCCAAGCACAAATACCATAATTGAGACCTTGGAGGTCTCATAGAGACCTCATAGACAGTAATTGTACTGTAATATAATAATATTAATTGGAATAAACTAACTTGGAAAGAAATATTTTAAAATAAATAAAAACCACTTTTTTAGGCAAATCAGGTATTACATACTAGGCCAAGTAGTTTGGTTCTGACTGTTAGGTAAAACATATATATATATATATATATATATATATATATATATATATGTCGTACCTAGTAGCCAGAACGCACTTCTCAGCCTACTATGCAAGGCCCGATTTGCCTAATAAGCCAAGTTTTCCTGAATTAATATATTTACTATAATTTTTTTCTTATGAAATGATAAAGCAACCCTTTTCTCTATGTATGAGGTCAATTTTTTTTTATTGGAGTTAAAATTAACGAAGATATATGACCGAACCTAACCAACCCTACCTAACCTAACCTAACCTATATTTATAGGTAAGGTTAGGTTAGGTAGCCAAAAAAAGCTAGGTTAGGTTAGGTTAGGTAGGTTAGGTAGACGAAAAAACATTAATTCATGAAAACTTGGCTTATTAGGCAAATCGGGCCTTGAATAGTAGGCTGAGAAGTGCGTTCTGGCTATTAGGTACGACATATATATATATATATATATATATATATATATATATATATATATATATGTTGTACCTAGTAGCCAGAACGCACTTCTCAGCCTACTATGCAAGGCCCAATTTGCCTAATAAGCCAAGTTTTCATGAATTAATTTTTTTTTCGACTACCTAACCTAACCTAACCTAACTTTTTCGGCTACCTAACCTAACCTATAAAGATAGGTTAGGTTAGCTTAGGTAGGGTTGGTTAGGTTCGGTCATATATCTACGTTAATTTTAACTCCAATAAAAAAAAATTGACCTCATACATAATGAAATGGGTAGCTTTATCATTTCATAAGGAAAAAAATATAGAAAATATATTAATTCAGAAAACTTGGCTTATAAGGCAAATCGGGCCTTGCATAGTAGGCCGAGAAGTGCATTCTGGCTACTAGGTACGACATATATATATATATATCTATATATATATATATATACTGTATATATATACTGTATATATATACTGTATATATATATATATATATATATATATATATATATATATATATATATATATATATATATATATATATATATATATATATATATATATATATATATATATATATATATATATATATATATATGTCGTACCTAGTAGCCAGAACGCACTTCTCAGCCTACTATTCAAGGCCCGATTTGCCTAATAAGCCAAGTTTTCATGAATTAATTGTTTTTCATCAACCTAACCTACCTAACCTAACCTAACCTAACTTTTTTGGCTACCTAACCTAACCTAACCTATAAAGACAGGTTAGGTTAGGTTAGGTAGGGTTGATTAGGTTGGGTCATATATCTACGTTAATTTTAACTCCAATAAAAAAAAATTGATCTCATACATAATGAAATGGGTAGCTTTATCATTTCATAAGAAAAAAATTAGAGAAAATATATTAATTCAGGAAAACTTGGCTTATTAGGCAAATCGGGCCTTGCATAGTAGGCCAAAAAGTGCGTTCTGGCTACTAGGTACGACATATATATATATATATATATATATACAGTATATATATATATATATATATATACATATATATATATGCAGTGTATTATTAGAATCACAATTTTGTGCTGTACAGTACTCAATATAATTATTTACAAAAAATGTCAATCTCAATTGACTACATAATACTTTATCATACAAGTAGGAATATTGATTGCAATAGGAACTTAAACTGATGCTGAAAATTCGTGATTTGTCATGTACTGTATCTTAATAATACCCCGTATACTGTTATGCAGTTAGAATGTCGAGTCTGTGAAGATGGGTTCAGTCTGGGAGGAGATAAAGTACCTCGTCTCCTGTTTTGTGGCCATACACTCTGCCATGCCTGCCTGCTTCGGCTACCTACACATGACAACAATATTCATTGCCCATTTGACCGACAGCCCACCCCTATAGGTATGTTAAATAGATAAATTTGATGGATTAATGCATTGTCAAATGACAGTAGAAATATACTTTGTTATATTATTATCACAAAGTATTTGTCTTTTTTATTTTTATTTTTTTGTTTGTATTTTCTTACTTGAACAAGTTGAAACATATTAAAAGATATTATTTTGGTGTCAGATAAAAGGTTCACCTTATTCAAATTGTTCAATAGAACATAAGAGTAATGTACAATTGTGGGGACAGGAGTTACACAAACTAATGAAGCCACTATTACACAAAGTGTTTTGAACAAAACTTAAAATAATTTGGAAAAAAAATTAATGGTGTGAAGGGGTAAACTTTATAATAAAAGAGAACTCAGCTTATTACAGTACTATATTCATTATTATGCATTAACCTTCTCATTTCTTACTATCGACTGAAAACTATTTATTGTATGAGGTCATAAGGTGTCTTATCTTCTTTTCTTCAAGGTGCATCAGGTGTATGGGGCCTGAAGAAAAATTTTGCTCTTCTGGAACTATTGGAGAGACTTTCGTTATCTCGATCTGATGCTGTACTCCTACCCGAAGTCCTCATAAAGCAGCGTGAGGTAGGTTTGTCTTGACACTTGTATAATGGACGTAGACATTCTGTATACTGTATTGCGTTTGTTTAATTCTTATTAACATCGTGGCAAGTAGGGTATTAATGGAAATTTTAGAATTCATATATGTGACATTTCTAATGGAAAGTAATTATATACAGTATATATGTGTGAACATTTGCTAAACTGTACAGTATGTACAGTAGTCATGTATGGGAGCTCATCTCCAAAGGTGACAAAAAATTATTGGAAAGTGTTTTTTTTTTGCATGGTTGGAATAAGGTAAGTGAGAAAGTGGTGGAGGTAAAAAACGTCAGTAATTTCAAAGTGTTATATGACAAAAAGTGGGGGAAAGATGAGACACCAGAAGTGTAGCTCTGTATCCTGTAACTACACTTAGGTAATTACACTTATGTAATTACACTATTTAAGGGCAGTGGCTTCCTTGCCTGCAGTAAGTGCACATTTTGGGCAGACATTGCATGCCTGGAGCTTGCAGTGGTCTGTTTGGCATTCAGGAGTGTCTTTTGATAAACTTCCCTCTGCTTTTATTTGGATTCTTTCCTCGTGGTTCAATGCCTCAATTGGGGATAATTTGATTCATTGCTGTTCCCTGTGAGGTTGGAATTTATGAATAGCCCAGCTTCTGGCTTCTCAGGATTTAGTCTTTAGAGCTATTAACATTTGAGGCATGTCACACATACTTGTAGATGGTCTTTCTTACTTCTGCTGTGGGAAATTGTTTGGCCATCCATAGGTGGAGCTGTTTGCCTCTGTGTGGACGTTATGGTTCCCAATCTATGTTGCACCATTTATGGATCATTAGGCATTTGCAATGGATGAATTTTGCTAGGACTGGGGTTTGTAGCATTCCCTTTGCCTTTCCAGTTTAGCTCCTGTGTTGGCCAAATCAGCCCTGGTTTCCAGCCCTTCTGCCCATTTCCCAATGCTCTTCCCTTCCAGAGTCTCCACCTCTCTGAGTGGATCAGCAGCTCAATCTATCCGGATAGTTTGAGGCTCTCTGCTGAGTGGCGGACCCTTGTCGCTAACCTCCTGCACGACCCGGATTACGCCTCCATAAGGGATCCTTCCTCGTTCATGTTTGGATCTTCTTTTCCTTACTGGATTCGTTATGAGGTTTCAGAGTCATCTTGGCTGATGGACTGTCCTGTTTTTTTTATGGAAGCGTGGCATATGTTTTGTCGTTCCCATACGCTTGAGTGGCAGGAGACTCTTACGGTGATCCAGGTTCTCCTGGGGGGTCACTTTGACCACCTCAATGCATGTTTGTTCGCTCCTGCCCTTCCTCGAGATGTCGGCATTGTTCAGCTTCACGTGCAGGTTCCCACCCTTGTGGGAACCTGGTTCCTTGTCCTGGTTGCTGACAATTTGCACGCCCGTGGCTTTTTGGCGTCGGTCTTGCGGTTATTTTCCTTTCTTGAGCTCTCTTCAGATTGGTTTGAGGAGGTTGTGGAGGCACTTGGGGCTGATCCTGGGTCTGGTGCTTAGGTTTTAACGTTGCAAGTGTCGTCTGCCCTGTTGAAGCTGTTCGCACAGATCCTACGGGATGCAGTGTGTCTGTTTTTGCTTCTCGTCTCGCATGTTGGCAGGCAGTGTTTGCTTCCTCCTTGGAATCTACTTAAGCCCTGGCTCTTAGATTTTCTTTGCTTTTTTGTCCCTTGCTGTTTGCAGAGTCTGCAGTGGTGTAGTATCTGCAGGCGGCTTCTTGCAGTTGTCCCATGTCGGACTTGTTGGTTCTCTGGGGGGCACGTGGGGGGGGGGTCTTCCCGGGAGGGTCGTGCCAGGGTTTGGGGTTCCTCCCGTTGTGGTAGGCCAGTGGTGCCAGGGCTTGGGGTTCCTCCCATCGTGTTATGCCAGTGGTGCCAGTTTCAGAGCCGGCGCTGCCTTCGGAACCAACGACGTCTGGTGACGGCAATGATCGCTCTGCTTGTAAGTCAGTTTCTTGTAAGGGGCGTTGGCCCTTCCTCGGTTTTGTTGTGGAGCGTCAGGCTTAAAGTTTTTGTTGCCTTCCATTTGGCTTGAATCTGGTGCCTCGTGTGTTCACATGCCTTACCCGGGTCATTGTGGCTTGTCTGCTTCTCTTAAGGGTTCGGGTTCTGGCCTACCTCGACGACTGGCTGGTATGGGTCCCCAGCCTGTTTGCGTGTCTGCTCGCCAGGGATTTTTTTTTTTTTTCCCGGCTCGCCGAGTTCAGATTTCTGGTGAACTGGAGAAAATCCCATCAAGTTCCCTCTCAGGTCCGATCTTGGCTGGGTCTTGTGTGGGACTCTTGGACCACTTCCTTGTCTCTTCCTCCGGAGGTTCTGCTTCAGCTGCAATCTTGCCTTCGCCTGTTTTTGGGGGTCTCCCGGATCACCCGGCGGTTGCTTGAGGGTTTGTGCAGGAGCCTGAACTTTGCCGTGATGGTCTACCCGCCGGGTCCGGTTTGACTTCGTCGGCTGTTCTGGTTCCTTTGATGATGTCCCTTCCACCTCTCTCGTGATCGCTAGGTTCAGCCCCCGGGGTCTTTGTGTCAGTTGCTGAGTCACCTGCTTCCTCCTCGAGTTATTCGGGGTTCAGCGCTTTGGCGCCTACCTGAGCCCTCGCCTGATGTGTTCACAGATGCGTCGTCTCTTGGCTGGGGTTTTGTGACAGGTGCTCACCAGATCTGCCAGGGGCGGTAGGATCCATCCTTCCGTCGGGCCCACAGCACGGTGCAGGAGTTTGCGGTGGTGTGGATGTCGCTTCAGAGGGTTCATTGCTTGAACCAAGGGGGGTTCAATGCAGTCCTTGGCTCTTTGGGGCTGGTCGCTTCGGGTTACTCGTCTGCTAAGTTCTCGGGGTTTGGCTCTCCTGGCCGTTCACGTTCGGGGGTTGTCCAGTGTCCTGGCAGACAGCCTGTCCACCAGAATGGATGGTCGACGCTGACTCGTTCAATTGGTTCTGCCAGATGTACGGGGTCTCGGAGGTGGACCTCTTCGCATCGGCGTGGTTGAGGTGTCTCCCATTGTATGTGGCGCCCTTCTGCGACTGTGAGGTCATCGGGGTCGATGCCTTGCGGCAGGACTGGTTGAGGTGGAGTTACCTGTTTCTCTTTCCCCCAGTTCAGCTGTTACTCCAGGTCTTGGCTTGCTTGGAAACTTACCGAGGGAGAGTAGTTCTCTTGGCTCCTTGGGGGGCCAGCCCAGCCTTGGTTTGGACACCAAGCAGGCGCTGCTTGCTTGGTGTCCGAACCTGAGGGTCTTCCTGTGGCTCTGCTTTTTTCAGCAGATCGGACCGGTTTGTTACAAAACTGGTTCGATCTTCTTGAGTCTTCTCATCTGGTCTTTTTGACACAGGTTTATCACCACTTGTATGGTGATCAGATGGCTTCGTTGATGGTGTCCCACATGCGTGCTTCGTCTTGGCGGCAGTATAAAGTTCCTAGCGGTTGTACCTTTATTTCTTGTCCCTTCGTATGTTTACTTCTCTCTCGGTTCGGGTTGTCCTGGCATTCCTTTCGTAGTTGTTTCAGGACCATCATCTTATGGTGAATACTGTCGCCTCGTATCGTGCGGTGCTGGTAGAGCCATTGCAGCTTGCATTCGGGATGGATGTTACTTTTGCTCCATTCCGCAAGCTGTCTTGTGCATTGTTTCACCTCCGGCCCGCTCATGCACCGCCTGAGCCATTCTGGGGCCAGATTCACGAAGCAATTACGCAAGTATGTACGAACCTGTACATCTTTTTTCAATCTTTGGCGGCTTTGTTTACAATTATTAAACAGTTAATGAACTCCGAAGCACCAGGAGGCCGTTTATGATAATAACAACAGTTGATTGGCAAGTTTTCACGCTTGTAAACTCTTTAATAGATGTAACCAAATCTGTCAAAGATTGAGGAAAGATGTACACGTTCGTAAGTACTTTCGTAACTGCTTCGTGAATCTGGCCCCTGGTCGTTGGACTGGGTGCTCCTTTTTTTGTCCCTCCTCCTCAGTTTGTGGTGGCTCCTTCGGTTCAGGATTGTTTTTCCAAAGCACTTATCCTGTTGGCAGTGGCCTCTGGGGGTTGAGTCGGGGAGCTGCATGCTCTCCTCCGGCGCTGGGGTTTCTGTTCTTTTGGTCCTGGTGGTAGGTTTGTTTGCAGCCGTTTACTTCTTTTCTGGCGAAGAATGAGACTACTGCTTTCCAAAAGAGTTCTTGGTTGGTTGATGCTTTGTTGTTTAGGCCAGGGGTGCATCATGTGTTTTGTCCAGTAGCAGCTCTCCGCCGTTACCTGCGCGCCACGGCCTTGGTGGCTGGAGACGCGCTTTGGGTTGATCCGGTTACTCTTCTTCCCTGTTTCAGGGTTCGGGTCTCAGAGGTTGTCCGCAGGGTTATTCGGTCCAGCCAGCCTGCGGTTTATCCTCGTACCCACGATGTTCGTAAGTTTGATGCGTTGGCTGCTGTCTTTGGTAACGTCTTGGGCTGACATTAGGGCACAGGGGTTTTGAAGGTCAAACAGGGTCCTGGCTCCTAAAAACCAGCGTTGAATGTAATCAAACACCATTTTCTGGGTGAGACCCGGAGGTTCCTCAGCAACCATCCCTCCCCCCCCCCTGGTCGGCAGTTTTTCATGTTTTTTTTACATCCAACCTCAGAACTGGGGTGTGGCTAGCCGGCACAGGGATCTGGGGTGCCCCTTTCCCCGTCCCGGAGAGGGGAGGAGCTGTTCAGACAGCGGCGCTGTGACGTCATGCTCATTTGCTCGTTTTCATTTGGGGAGTTCTGTCCAACAGTTCGACTTTCAGTAGCAAATTTTTAGCCAGAATAGGGGTTTGTTTTGGAGCACTTACCTTTCTGGGTGCCTGACCCAATCGATGACAGACATAGAATGCTTTCAACCACATGGGAGGGGGGGGGTTTCTATAGGCCATTCCTTCTCATGCCTCTCTGAGGGGGTCTGATTCTGGCTCGTGGTCCCTGGTAGGCCTAGAACTCCATTCGCTTGACTGATGCCAAGGTCTGATACATTCATATCAGCCCAGATAGCTCTGGGGGAGCCTCTGAGTCTCACCCAGAAAATGGCGTTTCATAACATTCAGCGCTGGTTTTTCAGCCTCCAAGCTGACAGTCCGGCTGCCAGCTCGGTGCGCTGGGACCCCCCTCTTCCCCTCCCAGACGGGGGAGGAAGATAGCACGAACGAGCGGTGCATGGTGAGATGACATGTTGCTTGTTAGCTTGTTTTTCTTTGGTGGCATTTCTAGCTTCTGTTCAGTCTTGGATTGCAAATATTATCTAATATTAGTCCAGTAGCACCAGGGAGCCTCTGGGGCTCTACCCAGAAAATGGCATTTCATTATATTCAACGCTGTTTTTTGTAGGGGAGAAGGGAGTGGGGCCAACCTTTGCATAGGTGTTTGCAAGTCTGCCTCAGGAAGCCAGTTTTTTATATAGTGTTTGAATTTTATAGCATTACGTCCTATTATATGGGTTAGTTTTAGGTTAGGCAAAGAGCTATAAAATGGAATGTTAATCAACATGATATGTCCAAAACTGTTAGAATCAGATTGCCAAAGCTTTGTTGAGAGGACAAAGCACACCAGCACTTCTCTGTTAGCTTCATGCTCCTTTGATACATCACTTTTGTATTAGATTCATTAGTATTTTACTTACAGCTTGGTATATCTTGTGATGAAGATGAAGACCACTTAGCTGTAGTCTATTGCACAGTATGTGCATCCCACCTATGCCTCGAGTGCTCCGAGCGCACCCACTCCACAAGAACACTTCACAAGCATAAACGCATCCCTTTATCTGGTTAGTGCATAAGCATGTATGTTTTGTGCTTAAAAGATAATTTTCTGTGCGTAGCTCCTTCGGCTCCCTGGAGCTATCTGGCTAATGTGTGATATATTAGACTGGGGCATTAAGTCAATGGAGTTCAGCCTACCGGGGACCACAAGCCAGAACCTGACCCGCTCAGAGAGGTTCAGGGAGCAATGGCCCTGGAAAACCCCCCTGTGGTTGGGGGTTTTCCTTATCTGCCATCGACCGGGGTTAGGCACCCAGAAAGGTAGGCATAACAAAACAAACCCCACATGGGAAGATAAGTACATTGAAAAACAGAAAAGAGTGGCAGAACTCCGATCGGCGCGGCAGTAAAGTGTGATGGTTGCTTGTTTGCTTGTTTCCTTGTGATTGTAGGGAGTTTCTACCTCTCTGTTCGTTTTTTTTTTTTTTTTTTTTTTTTTTTTTACACCATGTGGGGTTTGTTTTGTTATGCCTACCTTTCTGGGTGCCTAACCCCGGTCGATGGCAGATAAGGAAAACCCCAACCACTAAGGGGTCTTCCAGGGCCATTGCTCCCTGATACCTCTCTGAAGGGGCCAGGTTCTGGCGCTGGTCCCTGGTAGGTCTGAACTCCTTAGCTAATGTCCCGGTCTAATATAACATACATTAGCCCGATAAGCTCCAGGGAGCCGTAGGGGCTCACCCAGAAAATGGCGTTTCATTACATTCAACGCTGGTTTTTAAGGAGACATAATTTTATGTCTTTTGTGCAGAAGCGGGTAGACGAAAACGGACATAAAGTTATGTCTGGGAGGGAGGAAAGTTTAACTAGGGGAGCAAGTTTGAGCGCCTTAATACTTGCTTGTTTGCCCTTGTGCTTTCTCGGGATATTGTCCTTGTGCAGCTGCACGTGCAGGTTCCTACCATTTCGGCGTCCATGGTTGCTGAGAATTTGCGCGCCTGTTGCCATTTGGCTTTGGTCTTGTGCTTCTTTTCCCTTCTCGAGCTGTCTTTGGTCCTGGCTTGAGGAGGATGTGGAACCGTTGAATGCCGGGCCTTCGTTTGGTGTGCTCAGGCGTCGGCCGCACTGTTGAAGCTGTTTGCGCCTATCCTGAAGGAGGCGGTATCTTTTTTCTGTGGGGAGCCCCTACGGCTCCCTGGAGCTTATCGGGCTAATGTGTGTTATGTTAGACCGGGACATTAGCTAAGGAGTTCAGACCTACCAGGGACCAGCGCCAGAACCTGGCCCCTTCAGAGAGGTTTCAGGGAGCAATGGCCCTGGAAAACCCCATATGGTTGGGGGTTTTCCTTATCTGCCATCGACCGGGGTTAGGCACCCAGAAAGGTAGGCGTAACAAAACAAACCCCACATGGTAAGAAACTACAACAAAAACCGAACAGAGAGGTAGAAAACTCCCTACAATCCCAAGGAAACAAGCAAACAAGCAAACATCACACTTTACTGCCGCGCCGATCGTCCGCGCAGCCCTCCCCACCCCGGGAGGGGGAGGGGGGAGCCCCGGACCTACCGCGCCGGCTGCCAAGCTCCAGTTCGTTCGCTAATGTCAACCGGGATTGACGCTTCTCTGGCCTCAGTTTCCTAGGCGGTGTTTGCCTTGTGTGGCGTTCACTGCCGTGTGTTGTGGTGTGCGGTGGCCAGGAGTACTTCATCAGTGCCGGGGCTGCATGTGCTTAGTGGCTGACTTCCCTAAGCGCCCTGTGAGTACTGCCCTTGCGTTACAGGGTTATCTTCCCTGGGGCGTTCGGGAACCATTCCCGTAGAGGTTCTTGCTGCTCGGCATTTGCCTCGCCCTTGGGGCCAGCTGGGGCTTGGGGCCCTTGTTTGGCCCTGGGTAGGGATTGGTATTGTGCTGGTTAGGGCGTCAAGGTGTTGCGCAGCCTGCCACCTAAGCGGCGGCCGGTTTCTGTTGCCTCTGGAGACGGTGTACTTTTGCGGGGTTTTTCTTTTGTTTTTCATTTTCTTGCCTGGTGGGGGTCTGCCTAAGGTGGTTATAGTTCCACTGGTAGTGTTTGGCGGCCCTCTGCTAGGCCCCCGTGCTTGTACACGTCTCGGGGGTTTTCAGTGCTATAATCTACCCTCTTGTTATGTTTGGGTTTCTTAACCGGTTAGCAACACCTTGCCCGGGCTTCCCGTAGTTGTTACCCTACGGGCCCTGGAAACCCCTGTCTGGGCTCGGGGGACCATTGAATGTGTCTTCCGGGTTCCAACCCGTCTTGTACGGGATCGTTGGTTGCTGTTCCCTTGTCTCCGGGTGACAGTCGCCATTTTTACCTCCGTCATGCTGCCTGTTGGGTCACTGACACCTTGACCCGGAGTCTTGCGAGTGATTCTCTGCTTGTTCTCCAGTACTCTCCTGATGTTATTACTGTTCAGAGTACAGGCGGCATCCGTGTTGCAAGCTAGGTTAGGTTGCTGCAACATGCTAGGTTGGTTTCCCACTCGAATGCCCCGTGGCCGCCCCGTTTGGTTAGGTGCTGCTCGCCCCTTTCTCTCCATGTTCCCGGCTCCGGACCGTCTGCGTGTTTCTGGGTCGGGGCGGGGTTCAGTTGCGGCAGAGACTCGGGCGGTTTTCGGGGGATGCCCCGTTCGGGTTGGGGACGGAGGTTTGAGCCTGTGCCTCCTGCCAAGGCTTCTGGGTCTTACCAGCGGCCCTTTCTTGTTGCCTTTCCCATGGGCTCTTGCTTTTCTTTAAGGGCGGAGGGCTTGGAGGCCGGCTCTGCCCCGGGGCCTCTGTTGTTGGTTCCCGGGGCTGTGGGGGATGCCTACTAGCAGTTCTGGGGCGGTTTTGCCCCTTCAGGGGTTTTTCTGCTGTTGGGCGTCGTTTTTCGCCCTTCCAGTCTGCTAGCTTCCCACATTTGCTGGCGTGTTTTTGTGTATTAAGCGTCAGTCACAGCCCCTGCTGGCGGCCATTTTCGTCTGCCGGTTTCCCGGCGTGGCCACCAGGGCGGCGTTGCGGTTTGTTTACATGCGTCTGGGTGTGCGAGCGAGCGTCTCTGGTGAGTTTTCAAAAAATTTGCAGGGTTTTTGTTCTCCTGTTGTCGTTTCTTTGTTTTCTGGTGTTTTCTTGCCGTTGCCTGTTCCTCTGGGAACGTTTGGGTGTTGATTTTGGGTCTGAGCCTCTGGGTTTAGGCTCAGTGCCCCTGGCTGGTATGCTTGCTCCCACACCTTGCCCCTCGGTTTTCGGTCTGTTGGGACCGTTTTCCCAGGGCGTTCTGCTGGGGTCTGTGCTTTGCCTTTTAGTGGTGTTCTCCGCCGGCAAATGTGGTGGTTTGGGCTCCCCCTGGTTCGATTCTGGGTTCCTTTGGGTTCCTTGGTTTCGTTCTGGAGGTTTCTTCCTCTTGGGCCCCCTTTTGTGGGTTCAGGGGACTTTGTTTCCTCGTGTGACCCGGTTCTGCCTTTTGGGGTTCCGGGGTCTTCCTGGCTTGCAGACTGAGCTTTTTGGGTCTTGGCACATGTTGTGGTTGTGCTGGGACTTTGTGGTTTTGCTGTCGAGGTGGGCCTTTTGATGCAGTTTTGTGCCTTCTTTGCCTGGCCGGCGTAGTGCTCTTTGCCACTAGTCGGCGGCTTGTGCTTTTACAATATATGTCCTCACCTAGTTGTGCTTGTGGGGGTTGAGCTCTGGCTCCTTGGTCCTGCCTCTCAACCGTCCGTCAACAGGTAATTACCTAAGTGTAATTACCTAAGTGTAGTTACAGGATGAGAGCTACGCTCGTGGTGTCCCGTCTTCCCAGCACTCTTTGTCATATAACGCTTTGAAACTACTGACGGTCTTGGCCTCCACCACCTTCTCACTTAACTTGTTCCAACCGTCTACCACTCTATTTGCGAAGGTGAATTTTCTTATATTTCTTCGGCATCTGTGTTTAGCTAGTTTAAATCTATGACCTCTTGTTCTTGAAGTTCCAGGTCTCAGGAAGTCTTCCCTGTCGATTTTATCAATTCCTGTTACTATTTTGTACGTAGTGATCATATCACCTCTTTTTCTTCTGTCTTCTAGTTTTGGCATATTTAATGCTTCTAACCTCTCCTCGTAGCTCTTGCCCTTCAGTTCTGGGAGCCACTTAGTAGCATGTCTTTGCACCTTTTCCAGTTTGTTGATGTGCTTCTTAAGATATGGGCACCACACAACAGCTGCATATTCTAGCTTTGGCCTAACAAAAGTCATGAACAATTTCTTTAGTATATCGCCATCCATGTATTTAAATGCAATTCTGAAGTTAGAAAGCATAGCATAGGCTCCTTGCACAATATTCTTTATGTGGTCCTCAGGTGATAGTTTTCTATCTAGAACCACTCCTAGATCTCTTTCTTTATCAGAATTCTTTAAAGATTTCTCACATAATATATAGGTTGTGTGGGGTCTATGTTCTCCTATTCCACATTCCATAACATGACATTTATTAACATTAAATTCCATTTGCCAAGTGGTGCTCCATATACTTATTTTGTCCAGGTCTTCTTGAAGGGCATGACAATCATCTAAATTTCTTATCCTTCCTATTATCTTAGCATCATCAGCAAACATGTTCATATAATTCTGTATACCAACTGGTAGATCATTTATGTACACAATAAACATCACTGGTGCAAGAACTGAACCCTGTGGTACTCCACTTGTGACATTTCTCCATTCCGATACATTGCCTCTGATTACTGCCCTCATTTTTCTATCAGTCAGAAAATTTTTCATCCATGATAGAAGCTTACCTGTCACCCCTCCAATATTTTCCAGTTTCCAGAACAACCTCTTATGTGGAACTCTGTCGAAAGCCTTTTTTAGGTCCAGATAGATGCAGTCAACCCAGCCATCTCTTTCCTGTAATATCTCTGTGGCCCGATCATAGAAACTGAGTAAATTCGATACACAGGATCTTCCTGATCGAAAACCATACTGTCTGTCTGATATTATATCATTTCTCTCCAGGTGTTCTACCCATTTAGTTTTGATTAGCTTTTCCAATACTTTCACTATTACACTTGTCAATGATACAGGTCTATAATTGAG